CCAAACCCTCACATACAGACTCCTCTGAGTAATGCTATCAGATGTGTATATATGAACTTACAGTATCAATTCTTCTATAAGTTGCACTCCCTCATAACTCTGAGGTGTTAGCTAGACATTTCTTTGACATGTGAAGGAGTGAGTGAAAGGCAGCATTATAAATGATGGTAAATGCTGAATAAATTCTGAGTTTGAAATGTTCGACTCACACAAATGGCTTCATCCAGTATTGTTTCTGGTAGATCAGTAACACTGCGCTGTAGATAATGTTTTGAGTATTTGTCTAGACCTCTTGCTGGAACTGTTAAATAGAGGTTCCTTCTGCTTGTTATAGTGATCAAATCTTAGCTTCACCTCAAAATCTTAAAAATTCAACTGTAAATATTATAATAAGATGAAAAAGATCACTTGTTCCATATCGCTTATGATTATACTCAATCACCCTTGGATTTTCCTATTCTAATCTAATTTCTCTGGCCATTTCCTTCCACCTTTCTCTGAATATCCTAATCGACTCAAGTATCATAGACTTTTGTGATAATTCATTTTACATTCTCATAACCATTTCCATGAAAAAAATTACCTTGTATTCTGGCCCTTTCTGCTTCTTACTCTGATCCTAAATTACCTCCTAGTTCCCACTCTGCTGATCAGTTTGCATAACCAATGCTATGATTTCAAGTAGAAGCAAATTACTGCAGATGATGGAATCTGTGTTGAAAGCAAAAAATGCTGGAGATCACAATGGATCAGGCAGCATCCACGGCATCCATCATCAGCTCTGATGAAGAGACATTTAGACGTGAAATGTTAGCTTGCTCTCTCTCCATGGATGCTGCCTGATCCATTATGATCGCCAGCATTTGCTGTTTTCAGCTATGATTTCAAGATTTTGAACATTTCTATTGGATGTTTCCTTGATTACTTTATTTCATTCAATAAAGCCTCAAGTTTCAAAGTATTGTGACTGTGTCCTCTTATTCCTGCTTTATTCTTTGGGATCTAAATTGCTCATTTTCTTGGTTGTATTAATGTTTTTGTGTGTGGTTGCCCAAACTGCACCCAATACTCAAATTGTGGCCCAATCAGTCTACAGCCTAGTCGACACGACTAACCTGATGTTCTGATTGAAAACTGGGCAACTAGGCACTTCAAACGAACTGAGTTATCTTGCCTGCCCTGGGCATGGCTCCTGATTTTAATATGTTAGGTAAGCTTCCTAATGCAGTTGGGTCCATCTTTAAGACTTGTTCGATTTCACTAATGTCATCAGGATCAAAGGTCAATATTAATTTTGTGACCTGAGCAAGAAACTGCATCAGGTTGCCCATCGGGGCAACTTAGCAGGGAAGTGGATCAAAAGTCAAGCTTCAATGTTCCTGTGGACTCTGAAAAGGAGAGGTGTAGTGGTCTGTGCACGAGGGAGACATTGGAAGTGACTAACTCCCTGTCTCTCCCAGCAAGAAAGGCCCAGTTGTGATGCTTTGAGAGGCTGAAATGGCAATAAGAAGGGGGATATTGGGAGGGAGATGGTCATGTAAAGAGGGTGTTCAAAGAGTTCAAAGATAAGGACAGGCGCTTGTCTATCACTAACCACTTCTAGTTCCTATCCCTGCCCCAGTTGTCCCAACATTAGGGAAAATGGGCTCCTTCCAACCCAAGCTGCCAATAAAAAGGTAGAGTCGCCATAGTCCACCCAGACCCTGGGCTGCTCTCTTATTAGAGAGAGATGTCTTGTGATGGTTTAACCTGAGGGTCGCCAGACATTAGATACCCTATCTGTAGAGAAGGCAGGTAATCATGTTGGTGGTGAATTGATGCCCTTATTGGTTGTTAATTGACCATTGAAAGACCTTTACTGGTGGTGAGCCAATAAGGTCGCCCAAGAACAAAGACTGTCTTTTTCACCTTCATGACATTGGCCAACTTAATCTCTGCCTCAGCCCATCTGCTGTTAAACTCTTCATTTATGACATTTTACTTCTAAACTTTTATCCTTCAAAGCACTTTAGGCTGGTTTCCTGCATTCTTCCCTCCATAAATCCAAGGTCATCCAAAACTCTGGTGCTCCTGTCTTAACTCACACTCAGCTTAATTGACCTATCACATCCTTTCTTGCTGGCCTACAATTCTACCCTTGTTTTCAAATCTCTCCATGACCTTTCCAATCGCTATCTGTGTAAATTCCTCCAGCCCCATCACACTCTTTGATAATGTGCGTTCATCTAATTCAGTCCTTCTGAATAACCTCTGATTTTATTTGTTTAAACCATGCTCTCAATGCCTAAGCTTTAACATTTCATTTCCTAAACCTCCCCACCTCTCATGTAACTTTCCTCCTTTATCTCTGTTTCAACTTGGTATCAACTATCTACCTATCTGTAGTCTGTCTTCTCAGTTCAATACCAAATCCTGGCAGTTTTTCTGATTTTTCCCACAACTCAGTCTCTTGACATTAAGACTCCTCAGGTTGAACTGAGTAAGCATTACAACTTGGTTAATTATTTGTTATGGTCATAACTTTATATCCCAACCTTCAGTTATGGCTAAAGATGTTACATATTTCAGGACCTGGCCCAATTTCCCTTACACCCACCCACTCCTCATTTCAATGAAGGCAGGTTGGACGCTGGCAAGCATTCTTCACCTGGGAAGGTTGGTTGCTTATTTAAGTATTTTAACAAGGATGACTTGTTATGACTGAGGTTGAATAAGTGCACTGTCTCTTAAGGCACTCCTTAAAACTTAGAACCCTGTCCAAGCTTCCAGTCATCTGACCAAATATCTGTTTTTGTGCTCATGTCATGGTTTGTTTAAAATGTCCTGTGAAGTGTTGGGGGCGATTATTACTTCAAAAGTTCTTATTTTTGTCATTGTTCAGCTGCATGGACAGTTTCATTTAGGAAGAAAGTTCCTTTGCCCCTCAGTCAGATTTTCATCAAGGCCAGGATGTCGATGTAGGCATCTGTAAGTAGCTCACGGAAGGCAATGGTCTAATCCACAAATGAGGGTCTATGGGGAAGGCGATGGCCCAGTGGTATTATGCTGGTTTGTTAATCCAGAGACCCAGATAATGTTCTGGGTACCTGGGTTTGAATCCTGCCACAGCAGATGGTGGAATTTGAATTCAATAGATATCCGGAATTAAGAGTTTAATGATGACCATGAATCCATTGTCAATCGTAGGAAAAACCCATCTGGTTCACTCATGTCCTTTAGGGAAGGAAACTGCCATCCTTTACCTGGTCTGACCACATGTGATTCCAGCCCCACAACAATGTGGTTGACTCTGAACTGCCCTCTGAACAATTAGGGATGGGCAATAAATACTGGCTAGCCAGTGACCCCCTCATCCCACAAATGAATAAAGAAAAAACAAAAGGGGGATGTAGAGATGGATGGTGATATTTGATCCACTGGCAAAGTCTACAGTGTCAGCAGTGGGAACAGTGAGTGAATGGGGAGGAGATCAACAAAATTAGCACCCATTGCAGACATATAATCAGAAGATAGGCTTGGATCCTTGGATTTGAAGCTCATACAGAGGCAGCAACAGTTCCCTCAATGGACCCTGTGGAAGATGCCAAGGAAGGTGTAGCAGGAATTTGTAGGTGTACGTGAAAAGGACTCAAGCCTAGAATGTTAGGGAAGTCAGAAGACCATGGAGTGTTGCAGGATTGGGGTAGGTTTTTGGGATGGCACAGCATTTGAGAAAGATGGAAGCATAGCAGGCATAATGACAGGTGAGAGGCGCTTAGGAAAGGAATTGAGAAAAGTAGTAAAACAAAAAGGACTAGAAAAAAAAAGTAAGAAAGAATAGTAGGGCTAGATTCATTGACACAACCAAAACAACCATACGATTGAACACAGGCAGAACACAAATATCTGGGCAGGGCAATGTCCCACTTATAAAATCACATCTATCCTGGCAATAAACAGGGAATGAAGAGCAATCACAACACAGCTGGACTTAAAGTCAGAATTCTGTGGTGAAATTTAGAATAGTCAGGGTAGAGTCAACAAGGATCATCAATGAACTGTTATACTATTTCAAAAACAGGTGAGGAAGCAAGTGAACTCCAGAAGACAAGTTCAAGAGTAGAGCATTGAAGAATGCACTGATGGTGGCATTACCTTTGGGACAATGATCGAGGAGATGTTCAGGATTGTTCACAAGATGAAGAAAAAAAAAGTGATTCACCTGATTTCAGGAATCCCATTTTCCATTTGAAGGCTCTCTCTTGCTTTTAAAAGTTTGTGTAGCTGAATCCCTAGATCTCTCAGTTCCTTGGCTCAAATGAGGCTTTTACTGAACAGAACATATTTCTAGTTTGTTATTTTTGCCAAGACTGACTACTGCAGATTTATCTGCAATGAGCTACATTTGCTGCATACCCATAGCTAATCTGTGTCCATATGCAATCCCCTGGACATATTCTCAGCTTGCCATCCTCCATAATTTGATATTGTCAGTAAGTTTTGATACATTGATTATAAATCGAAACGCTCATACAAAGGCGAGCTCAATACCACCTATAATCAGCTTGGCTGATTTGTGGTAAGTCCTCTGTCTTTTCCTGATAACTGCTTTAGCACAATTGCTGCCAGATTTAAACATTCAGGGGATGTTCAATTCATTTGTGTTTCATACAGCTGAAACCAAAATAAAAATTATAAACAGTTGCTCTTTTCAGGCTCTAGACAATTGAATAATCTTATTCACTCAATACATCTTTTCTATCTAGTGTATGAAAATACAGTGAAGGAGAAGTATAAGGAGAGATGTAAACAAAGCAAAGAGGAGATGGTGCACAAGCAAAAAATAGAACCTGGAGCACAGATCAAAGTGTGGCCAAATAATTACCTTGGACAGGCAGAGAATACAGAAAGAAGGATACAAAATATGCACACAAAATAGTTGACTGAGTCACAGAAAAATCGATGGAGAAAGTAATTGTATGCAATCTATATCAGTATATTTATATCTTTTAAATGAGTCTTGCCATGTGGGTCAGGTGTCTTTCGCCTGATGCTACAAGCTATCACTAACGTCTCTGTGCTCCACCGTGCTTCATATCGCATTTCAAAATTGCTGGTGGGACAAGAACACATTTCAAAACATGAAACAAAGCATTTAAATCAAAATAAGAGGATTGTACGAATGGATGTTTTATGTAACACTTGCCATTTACCAAAGCGCTTCATGACGCTGGAGACCTGTGGGAGGGCTGTGGAGCAGCTTGCAGAAGCCTTTACTAAATGACCTCACCTGGAGCAGACAGAATGTTTAGTAGTTGATGCCAAATTGGTGATTAGAATGTGGATATTGCTTTTCAAAGGATAGAACTTACATTTAAAGAGTGAGGAAAATCTGATCCCTGTGGTACCATCTGCTACTCCTGCTAGGAGTGTGAAGCCGGGCACCCGGCTGTTCCTACTTCCTTTAAATGACCTTCTCAAACACTGTGATAACGTATAATGCAACTCCTTCATAATCGCGAAATTCTCATACAATGGCACGTTTTTCTGTAAGCTATAATAATATCCTAATCAGAGAAGTGTGTATCACATGGTGTGACAAAGCTAAAAATATTACAGTAAAGTATTATATTTCATTAATAGTGGTATATCTGAAAGACTATTTAAACCAAGAATTGAATCAATGTTGCCCTTTCCTTGATAACGCTTTCTGTAAGCACAATGTTATATTTCAATTAGAGGGTGTTTATTGAGTCACCCTGATGGAAATTAAATTAACAAGCTGATTAAATTGCTCCATTTAGTAAAACCTATCAGTACTGATTCTAATGCATTTGGAATCAATTAGAGCTTGAGAAAATACTCCTGGTGAAATAATATCCTCAATAGTTATATTCCTGAAATAATTAATGTCAATTGTAATTGTGTGTGCATGTGTGAATTTCAATAGGAAAATAAATTCTTAAAGTAAAATTGTCCCTTCATGGAGTGTAGAAAATCATTCATCTGGCATGACTGGTTGGTATTTCTGAGAGCAACAAGAAGGATTAATTTATTTTAATTCATTGGTGCAGATTCTGCTGCCTGACTCTGGGGTTCAAATTCATATCCTCAAGGAGAACTTCTTTCCAAGAATAGCCTTTGACAGTTTCAGCCATCAGGGCAGCATGCATAATTAAAGAAAGCAACCCCTGCCATCTTGCACTGTGTAATAGTCAATGGAATGAGAAGAGGTTTGAACGCCAAAGAGCAGCAGGGAACAGAGGTGAGAATGTTGTCAGGCTTTGAAAATTTCATATACCCAAGATGGGTAGTTATTTGGTGAAAAGTTAATTGTACATTTATTTCTATCCATGAGAAATTGTCTCGATTACAGATTGAGGGATAGGTAATAGTATTCATTTCATATTTTTGTTCTAGAAATTACTTTATTTTACCATTTATGTTTCGATGAAGATCTACAATACCATTTGAACAAACAGCACATACTAGAGACACATCTGAGATCCTGGCATACAGGCTTGCTGTTTAATATTCATGAGCCATCTAATTTGGCTGGTGCACTCGGTACTGATCAAAGTGAAGAATACCACTGCAGGAAAGCTCTGTGCCTGTGACAGTCATCAGTGTCATAACCAGTCAAGGCTGCTCCGGCAACAAACTGTATTTTACTGAAGCACTTTTAAGCCCTTTACAGGATTGAGCTGTTACTCTCTGATGTTGCAGGGACAGGGCTATTCAGCCCCTGGATACTTGTGGTGAAGGACGTTTGCTAATGCTTTCTTCTGCTCCTTTCCCTTCCTAAAGGTTTGTGCAACCAACTGACCATGTAGAATCTGAGAACCTGAGACAACCACGATGGGAAAGTCTATATGGAGTGGCGCTGGACTTCAGCCTGGCCTGCAGCGATCCATTTGACTATTAATTGGTTCTTGGTTCCGGTCCTTGATGAGACTGAAGTGCAGCGAGTCTACATTAGCAAGCCGCAGTACAAAAGCAAAATAAAAATAGTGGATATTTTGATCGTACTGATTGAACAGAAACTTGATTACAATCTGCACTGACCTTATCCCTGCCATAAATATCTTTATAAAGCTATAAGCAATACTGTGGAAACAATGGGAGACATGACGAATAGTGCGGTGGATTTCTATCCAAAGAACCAAAGACGCGAGTCTAACCATGCAGGTGATTTTGGGTGTTCTCTCAATGAACTCCGCTCTCTTATGGAGCTACGTGGATCGGAGGCAGTGCAAAAGATACAAGATACCTATGGTGATATGAATGGATTCTGTAGACGTTTGAAAACTTCGCTAACAGAAGGTAAGGTTATTTCGTAGTGAAAAGCATAAATACACGCTGACACTAAAATAGCCATTCTTTTAATTTAAAAAAATGTTGATTATCTTGACTTGTCAATACATTGCTTTAGTGTTCAGTGACTTGCATCTGCGCAATGTCACATTAACCTTGGGAACAATAGTTCATTGTAGCAGGTAATTTCTTTACAGGGTTTGGTCAATATAGCACGTGAAAATGTGTTGTGCCTATTTTGGCCAGCGATATATTTAGCTGTGATCTCTGCATTGCTTAGTAATAATGTAAATTTATATCAATGATATGCACCGCATGCATACATCAAAATACAATTAACAGCTCTTTATCGTTCAGTGGAATCAGCCAGTTTAATTATTTACATGAATTTTTAATTCTTGTCGTGAACTGCTCTTGTAGAGAGCATAGTCACAGATCGTTACTGCTACAATTATATATTTTTATAATAACTGAAGATATCCTAAAATATGTATGCAAAGCAGGGCAGACTAAACTCTGAGCTGGAGTTGTGTAGCTCAAGAGAAAGTTTACTTTGTGAATGCCCAATATTTGTAATCCAAATGTATGAACAGTTTTATCTACATGAAGGAGATTTACTTGTACCATTCTATGAATAAAACATTATCTAATACCATCACAGTAACACTTAGGCACTGGCTCATAACTACACGTTTTGAAGTACTTCAACATATTAATTGACATCTGATATTCTCTTAAAGTGTAATAGGAGTTATAGTTCATTAGCATACTAATTAAAGTTCATTGCATGAAACTTGTTTTCCTATTTTCTTTTGAGAATCTTAGCGGGAGAATTTGATAGCCAACAACAAATGAGACAAAATGGCATAAACATTGAACTGTTATTGGATCTATCAAATGCAGGAATTTGAAAAAGTACAGATCACTTTTTATATTGGATGTGGTCACAACCGAAAAAGGGATCAAAAGCCCACGATGTGTTTGTGCTTGAGGTCTACTCTCCATCCTCGGTGTGTAAAGTTCTTCCCTCCAAAATCTGTCCTTAGTTTATCACCCAAGTCATGGTCACTTGGAGCACCTATTCTTAATGACCCATTTCAATTGCCTATTACTCCTCTCAAAATCTCCAGGTTAAAATTTTGATTCGTGTATTTAAACAACTCAATGCCCTGCCCTCTCTGTGATCTTTTTCATCCTTACTATTAATTTTTACTTCGTATTTTATATATTCCTTGAATTTGACCATTTGGCCCCATCCCTTTGCGATGGCATTGCAGCCCAGCTTTCAGCTACCTGGACCTAACTCTCAAGAATTCTTTTACTCCTCTGTTTCTCTACCTAAGGACATAAGAAATAGGAGCAGGAGTGACGATTAAACCTTTGGTCATTCAATAAGATCGTGGCTGATCATCAGCTTAAGTGTCACTTTCATGCTCACTCCTCATATCCCTTAATTCTCTTAGAGTCCAAAAGCCTGTCTGTCTCAACCTTAAATATTCATAAATGAACATTCCACAATCCACTGAGTTAGTGGATTCCAAAGATTCCCAACCCTTTGAATGAAGACATTTCTCCTCATCTTAGTCCTATATGATTGGCCCCATTTCCTGAGCCTGTGTTCCCATGTTCTAGACACCCCAGTCAAGGGATACAACCTCTCAGTGTCTCTCCTGTCAAGATCTTTCTAAATATCTGACCTTGTGATTTTGAAACCATATTTAAGATTTCTCCCTTTGACCGGATTTCTGGTCATGTTTCCTCCTTTTTTGAATATTGTTGAAGCTCTTAATCATGTCAAGCAAAATTGTTTTATCTTAAACATGCTTAAAATATACATGTATTTTTATGCTTAAATGATTTGTTAGCTTAAAAGTATGATGCTACACTGCTTATCTATAAAGAAGTAAGCCAGTGGTTGAAGGGAATTTCACAATTGATGAGTTCAGTGGATAGTGGAATTCCATGCTCTTCTCTCTTATTGAGCACCGAGACTGGTTCACATGTGCAATCCCTTGTTTGAGCACATTTTGAGTGTACGTGAGTTGCTAACATTGACTGTTTATTCAACTGAGGAGCAACATTCCCAAGCTTGATGCACTCATTACTTGACGATTTGTTTTGCAACAGCAGTCATTGGATAGCCATCAAGAACTAGGTGGCTGGCAGATATTTAAAAAGAAATCCTCCCCCATCCTTTATCGCTCTTCTACCAATAGCCCTGTGGCATTGAAATAAATTGTAGTTTCCCATTACTACCTGGTCCATCCACCACAACATCTGATTCATTTCTTTTTAGAGATGCTTGTAACTTTCACCATACTGCCTAGCTGAGAATTTTTGTTTGTTTTTTTTTCAAAACATTGGGCAACCAATACTATTTCTTTCGCCTTTCAATTTTCCATTATTTTAGATGGTCACTGAATTCAAGTTGCAATTATTTAGACTGCATTGTGTGTTACTCCTTCTGTGAGTGTTGATCTATTGAAAATAATGTCGACGTTTTCAGTGCTGAATTGTGTCAATTGAATATTAAATTCTGCTGATCATACACGCGTGTGGAAATCACCAAGTTTCTGACAGAGATTGCCCCCTCCTCCAGAAACTGTACAATGACCGTATCAAGCCAAGAAATCTCTCCACTGTAATACATTTAAATGGTGTGAAGCTGTTGTACTTGTGCACCCGAGCACACTAAACTCACCAGACAAAAGCTAGGGCTTTTCTGTTCCGATGTAAGTGCATCTTTAACAGCATTATAGTCCATGACTACTGCCAGAAAACCTTTTTGCTAGGGAAAATGGAAGAGAGTTCTGCAGTTAGTCAAATCAAGATGAGATTTGATTACAGCTGTTACTCTGGGAGTTCACTTGCTGTCAATAAAATGAAACCGCTTAATGACCATCTGTAATACACAATGGATCCGTGATATTCCATAAACACTGTTCTGATTTAAATACATATATTCAGTACCTTTTGGGATTTTGTTTAAACTTGTGAATTGGCCTGGTTTGCAGATTGGCTGGAATATATACCAAATACATTGGTAATAGAGGAGGTGGGCATTGAGTCCAACATAGGGTTATTGATCACACGATCTGCTCTGTCTTGGATGATATTAAGATTCCAAGCTACTTATGTCCTGATAACTGATAGATATTGCATTGC